TTAGTGTTTTCTCTTCTTATTAGACGATGTATCTCCAACAGATATGTCCTGGAAAATCCAATGGTTATGTACAAAGTCTGAACACCGCTTTATGGAACAATTCTCGATACATTGTATGCATCAACTTGGCAATTATATCCTTCGCTCGACTCGTATTTACTGATCACTGCCGGTCTTGTGCTTAGATATTTGGTACTGCTGACAAAGTTGTTATATATGATGGACATTTTAAACATCTGCAAACAATATGTGTACGAGAGTTCTTGGTCGATCTTGATACATCGCCGGAATGTAAAGTAATATCCGTTGAATTGTCAAATACTCACGGGCAGGTATGATCAAGTGTGTTTGCTTGAGAAAAGTATTGTGATCCATGCTTTAATCTGGCAAGTTATCACATCACTTTTTGTACCCTTATCAAGGCTTATCTATGTTCAGATAATTTGACTGAATTTTCTTCCTTTTACCTTGCTACTACATTGTACTGTTTATATAGCTTGCTGTAACTATTGAATCAAACGTGCTCATATTTCGTCCCAACAAACAAAGTTGCCAAGATGGGGTAAGTAATGAAATTTATATCTATTGGCCACGTTCTCTTTTTATTGCTATAGAGTGTAATCGTCTTTTCACGTTAGACGCAATGGACACTACTTGCTATATTGAGACATGACAATCCCGTGTGTTGTACATCATGGAATCTAAACCATGGTGAGTGGAATGCAAGAGAGACCTGTGTCAAGAACGGATGAATTTTCCGTAACATGTACAGTAAAATACGCGTTTGTATTGATTAATGTGTGGTGGGTATTGCTACTAGATAAACATGAACTCTGGGTTGGAGGTGGGAAAATCTCTCTGTGGAAGTATGACATGGATGAAAATACATCACCATGGACAAAAGAATACGAACGAGGGTGAGTCAGAAAGAACTATTTGTGGAATAGATGTCAGCGTGATTACTTATTCATTCACGATTGTACAATATAAATTTCTGGCAACTCTCAGAGTTGCTTCTAACGTAACACTCATAAAAGTATCACCAGATTCGTCTTTAATTGCGACAGTAGGCAAGGTAACTTGGCTTCTTATTTCTCGTTTTCCATCCCCCCCGCTTCCTTTCTTTCGTCTTTGAACCCTTCCCCCTGCTTTGATATTTCGAAATGTTATATCTCAAGTGTTCAAACTAAATATAGTTGCCGAATAAATAGTATGATCGAATGGTGAAGATCTGGTGGCAATCTCAGAACAACACGCGTGCATACGAATTTGAATATTTGAGTCATCCGGGAGCTGTGACTAATTTTAGTTGGAGACTCGGAACAGATGAAATGAGGTATTTAGTGCATTGGCGCGATGTTTCGAACGATCGTGCAGACAGTATTGGATAACGCCTCTGTATTATCTTTGTTTAGGACACCCGGCCAGAATACTCTATTTACAATGTGCAGAGATGGTATATGTCGAATATGGTCATCTACCAACCCGGAAGAACCTTGCGTTTTATATATAGCTGCTGTTATCGACCCCAGTCAATTTCTTGTAGCCATTCCTTCTCCTCCTCCTTCTCCTACTTCTTCCGACTCGCTCCCCTCTTTATTCTCGCCAGACGATGAGGTATTGTCTACCCCTATACATTGGATACACGCAGCCGAGTTTGTTAGCACAGTGCGATTGGCACTGGACGCATTGGAAGGAGGGGACGGGCAAAATGGAGTTGGAAATTTAGTGAGACGACTGACAGGTTTGGCCAAAAACACACCGGATCTGATGTATCAAGTACAAAAAGATGGAAGCATGATAATATGGGCAATACAGGTACAGCGGACGGAAGATTAGCACATTACCATTTGCTCTTTACGCGTTCTAGTTGTAAAATTTACTTTGGTTATATACTAACTACTATCGTATTTAATAAGAACTTGAATGCTAAACCGCGGCGTATAGTTAGGGTTCTTGTTTTGTTGAGAATGGCACACGCTCTTTTTCCACTGGATGCAGTTTATTTCTCAGGCAGTGTATCGGTGTACCACGATCATTCGGGATTGAAAACCAAATGTGAGTGAAACAAGCGAATTAGCGTCATTTATCCAGAGTCATCGATTCAATTTCGACCGAAAGCATCTTACGCCCACTGATACTCATGGTTGCCTTCATTTATAGCTACAATATTCCCAGCAGACTTGACCCTTATAGCGCAGAGTCCTCATGGCCGTATCAACTGCTATACCATAAATTTGACCGACTTTTTCGATAGCACACGACCGACCACACGGTTGTATTTAAAACACTCGATGACCGGACATCATAGCGATGTGGTGGATATTACAAAAGCACCAGGAACAGACAGTCTGGCTTCCATTGCAAAAGATGGAGAAGTCATTGTGTGGGATACAGAGACTCCGAGGGTATAGATTCAATTGGTTGGAGTGTGTATTAATGGAGTGTTAGGAAACGCGACAGATAAATATGGATACGAGTTGTATGATGTTATAAGGAGCATGGATGTGACACTGTGGATGCTTTTTTTCCCCATTCTGATCTTCTTGTCGTTTGGTAGTTTGGCGCTCGAGTAAGTCAGGGCATGGTAGAGAGATCACCTGTATGGCTGGACTCTAAAATCAAATTGGCATGTTTATTACCTGGAGGTAAGGAATGAATATTATATAAACAGTTGTACAATACACACTCATACGCTACTTCGGCAGCTAATATCGTTACGTATTATAGGAAGGCATTTGGCTGCATATGACGGATCTCAAATTATTCTCTTTTTCTGTGGCACTGTCGACGGACATTCATCTCAGTTATCTGCTCTCGATGGGTATGACCCAGAATACCCACTTAGTCTATTGTTTGCTTTTCCCCAAATGCGTAATGGAACACCGAGTTCTGTGTCGCATGTTGCTGGATTCAGCTTATTAGATGGAAGCATATTCTGTTGGCGAGTAGAATTTGGTGGTAAGAGGGATTGCGAAATGAGTAGAATGAAAATGTAAAACTAGTCATATGTTATTAATCATTGGTCTTTATCTTCATCTATTTTGCATCATAGCTATTTACTTACCAATATTCTTTTTGTCCTAACTCTAAACATGCAGATTTGTATGTTCCTTCTATCCACTTTATTTCCCATACTCGGTTGTATTCTCGTTCCTCTTCCCAACTATCCACTATTACCCACGCCGTCTCGGTCAATCAATGGGCCGGAGCATATTCTAAATGCAACACATATCCATCTGACTGTAATCCGCCCGTCCTATTGACATGCTCTTTACGGGACGAATTACATATTGGAGATGTAAGTTAAGTGTCACGAACAAGACTGACAGGAAGAAAGAGAATTTGTGGGAAGTGAGTTACAGGCTTGAGAGTGGGGATCCAGACGGGATATGGAAGATTAAGTGCGGGCCCGAAGATAAAGTTGCATTAGGTGAGTGGTTTTTGGAGAGATTATCGACG